GCACAATGGGGACTCCATCTGCACTGCTCCCCCCCTCCCAATGTTCTCTAATTAAGTCTAGGGGTCCCCTCACCCTTCTCCCAAACAATAACTCAAACGGAGAGAAGCCGGTAGATTCCTGTGGCACTTCTCGGTACGCAAAAAGCAGATGGGGTAAAAACCTCTCCCAGTCTTTATGGGACTCCCCAAATGTCCTGAACATCTGCTTCAAGGTACCGTTAAAGCGCTCACACAACCCATTGGACTGCGGGTGATAGGCAGAATTTACAATTGGCTTAATGCCACATAACTTCCATAGCTGGTGGGTCACTTCAGCTGTAAATTGGGTCCCCCTATCCGAAATTATTTCTTGGGGAAATCCCATCCTGTTAAATATCTTCATCATAGCTTCGGCTACCGTTTCTGCTTGTATATTGGAAAGGGCTATAGCCTCCGGGTACCGGGTGGCATAATCTACAATGGTCAGAATATACCGCTTGCCGGAAGGGCTAGGCTTGGACAGTGGTCCTACTATATCCACTGCTACTCTGCTAAAGGGTTCTTCAATAATGGGAAGGGGGCACAATTTCGCTTTGTGGCGGTCACCCCTTTTTCCCACTCTCTGACAAATGTCACATGTCTGACAATACTGTCTCACATCTCTAGATATACCTGGCCAGAAAAATGCATCTGTCAATCTGTACCTCGTTCTTGTCATCCCTAAATGCCCAGACAGCGGAATATCGTGGGCAATTCTAAGCAGTTCCTGCCGGTATTTCTGGGGCACTATAAGCTGCTTATTAGTGTGGGGATATTTATGGGATAATAATAGTAACAGTTGAGAATTGCCCACTAATTCAATTCTCAGATCCCAAAGAACGTTTATCGTGTTAAGTGAAATGTATACCATATAAATAATATTCACAGTTTATATAAAAATAGATTTTTATTTATGATAACCAATAATTAATAATAATATATGTAACATGCATGACAATAATCAATGAATATTCAGTACAAAATTATATGCAATACAAAGAAATGGGTATTACGTTACAATGGCTATTAACTCATTATCTGTCAAGAATTCTGACGATTTATGAGGTATCCTTAACACAGGCTGAAAGTGAAACTTTTCACACAGAGAACAGAATTCCTCAGAGTGCAGCGTAAGGTCGTAAAGTTTAGCAGACAGTTAGAATAACCCTTTCAATGCTGGCTAGATCTCCTAGGTAGTTAAGATCTATTCTTATGTAATTTTTAAATGAAATAACATTTAAACCAGTTTAAATTCATTTTCTTAAACCATCCATAAGAGAATTTACTACATTATATAAGCAGATTTTTAATTTGTCTAAAAGATATCTATCTTAATTTAGAGCAAATCAATACACCTGGATAAAAACAGCGGTATGCTAACACGTGATAATATCACATCAATATATAATTATTCTTAATTCCACCTGCAGAATGGAATGGTTATAACTATATATTCTTAGTTAACTAAGATTTCTTAATATGGAAATCTGACCGTGCTTTATCCAGTCATATATAATGCTATTAATATAATTTAATTAATTTAATTTAATTAAATGAAACCAGTATAATTACCAGTTGAGTAGATATTTCATCCGATTGGTAGTCTCTCTGCATGGAGGTGTTGGTTAGAAAGTCAGTAAATTCTAAGTGTTAGAGTTTTAGGAGTAGAGTGTTATTCTCAGATGTTGTCCGAGTTGGAATCCCCAAACTTCCAATTCCTCTCTCCTCTCCGTTGCATATCTTGCATGTGCCTCCTCTCGTATCTATCTTCTATCTTCCCTTTGTCTTAACTTTTAAAGGGCCAGACTCTCTGTACGTCATCAGTTGATAACCCAATAGAAGCACTAGAGGTGTGGTTATCTTCCAGATCGCAAATTAGTTATTTGGTCTGTAGAGGGCAGTCTTGTCCCACTAAACATACCTATCCAGGAAAGAGTTAACTTTTCCTGGTGGCTATTTTGACGTCATTTTGCGTTATCTTTATAGCGCCATAATTTAAAATTTCAAAGGGTTTCTTAAATTTTGTCCAGACTTAGCGTCTGCAATTCCTGCCATAATTTCTGATATGACAGATCATGAACTAAGTTTACCCTTTTCCATACAATGGTACCTTATATATATAGACAGTTAAATATTAAATTATTTAATCTTCTCTGTCACAATTGTCTGGGTTTAGATTTGATTATATTCCATTAGCATTAGACAGTCTGTCCAACCCCCTTCCTTATCACTTGTTTGTATATACTATGCATTCCTCAGATCTGGGAAAGTGGTTAGCTTACAGATAGAAATATAGTGTCTTTTTGTTAACTTGAAATAACAAAATGGAGTCTGATCTGTTCAGAGTGACTCAGAATATACACTTTTAGTTTCTATCATAGCACAAGATGTCTGCCGATATAAATACCCTGACATTAGTCACATGTACAGACCCCCCTACCACCCGCTCAGCAACACGATATAACAGATTTTTCTCCCATACATACTGTTCTCCCTCTAAACCTGTCTGACCAGCTGTCGCCTTATCCTTATAAATTTGCAACGTGGGATCGTTTTTAACCTCTGCCTCAAAGTCAGTCGGGGTATCCCAGGAAACACGGGTTACACGGGGTACATTGTCTCTTACCTGAGCCTCAGAGTGTGTGGAAGATGAAGCCGTGGTGCGAGCCTGCTGACGGGTGGTCACTGGATATGCCTCATGGCGAGGACTTTGGGGCACAAAAGCGGAAGTCATTTGCCCTAGGTCATTCCCCAAAACAACATCAGCTGGTAACTTGTGCATCAGCCCCACCTCCACCATACCTTCCCCCGCACCCCAATTCAGATGTACCTTGGCAGTTGGTAGCCGGTACATGGCACCCCCTGCTACCGATCCCCCGGTATGTGCTGATCCTGACACCAAATGCGGGGCAACCAAAGTTAAGGTAGCGCCGGAATCACGTAGCCCCTGTACCTCTTTCCCTTCCAGAGTCACGGTCTGGCAATGTGGTTGTCGGTTGTCAGTAGCATGGTGGACATTACATCGTGCAAAACGCCCAGGGGTTCATCAGCCGACTCAAGCGGCACTCCTGGCAAAGTTGGCTCTGCATGATAATAATGAGCAGCTGCCCGCGGGGCCATATTCTGCCGGAGCTGATTCCAGTTCTTGCGGCTCCGGTTTTGGGTGCACTCCCGGGCCATGTGCCCCCATTGCTTACAGGCATGGCACTGGATGTTGGACCTGCCATTATAACGGGAGTGGGGAGGTTGTCCCACAAGTGCTGGTCTGGATGGTGCTGTCGCTGGGGCAGGAGCAATAACTGGAAACGGTTGCGGGTTGGGTTTTGCATACCCTCGGTTATTATTTTTATGATGCCTCCTAGCATCATAATGTTGGTCGGCCAATCGTGCCGCTTCGGTTAGGGTGTGAGGATTTCGGTCATTCACCCATTCTTGAGCCTCTGGTGCCAGGCCATTACAAAACTGCTCCAGTAGCAACATCTGGCGTAACTCTTCCATGGTGGTAGCTCTGCTGGCTTGTATCCAGCCTTGTGAGGCTTGGTCAAGCTTGTGTGCCCACTCCGCATGTGAGTCTTTGTCCCCTTTTTTCAATTCTCGGAACTTGCGCCGGTATGCCTCTGGGGTAATGGCATACCTTTCTAATAGCGCCTGCTTTACCTTGTCATAATTCTTGCTGTCCTCTCTGGGTACAGCCCGGTAGGCGTCTGCTGCACGCCCAGACAGTTTGCCTGCCAACAAAGGTACCCACATAGCTTGCTCTACATCATGCAAGTCACACAATCTTTCAAAATCTTGCAAGAATCCATCTATTTCGTCTTTATCCTCGCAAAAAGTTTTAAATGCATGATGTGGTATTTTTGGCCTTCCCTGGCCCACAGTTGAAACAGCAGCGGTTTCTGCTTGAGGTGAGAAGGCTTGATTCCTTTGCGCCATCACGTACTCCTGTGCATCCGCCGAAATTATGGTCATAATTTCTGGAGATACTGGAGCGGGCCAAAATGCCAATCTTGTCCTCATTTCTCGTTCAAATGGGGTCTCCTCCATGTTTGCTGGGGGTGTAGCACTACGAGCTCGGTCTCCTTCCATTAGCTCGGCAATAAGTCTTGCTTTAGGCTTATTGCTGGCTATCTTACCCCTGGCTTCCAACAGCTCCTTTAACGTTTGCCGTTTCAATATGGTGTAGTCCGTCCCCATTCACTTCTGCATCTGTATCAATTGCCTTCTGCTTTCCAGTATGTCAATTCCAATTGTATAAACAGCGTTTTTCCTGCTGTACGGTTGGATCCCGCCTCTTGGACCACCAATTGTTGCGGAGCTGCAATTTTATAATCCCAGGATCTCTGCTGGTAGAATGCAATAACCAAGTACAAAGCTGGAAACAGGCAATATTCCCAAATCCTCCCAAGAACCAGACGAAACACAGTCTGAGAGTCAACTGCCACTTTATTCAAAAAGACTGATATTTAAAGCAGGTCACTCAACTGTCACTTTATTAAAAATAACTGATATTTAAAGCAGGTCACTCAACAGGGGTTTCCAAAGATGGGCAGCAGGGGTTTTGGTTGAGGGGACTGGAGGGAGACTACCGTTTCCAGGTCCTCCTCCCAACAGCCCCTGCTGTAACATACAGTAATGAAAACTACGAGGACATAAACCGTTACCTTTCTACTTCAAAATATACAACTTAGTCAGTTTTAATAGCAATGCTAACGAATGGGGAGGATTCGAACAGACATACACAGTACAGCATAAATTAAACATAGCCGGAGACGCCACACTATACCGGCGCGCAGTACACAACAGAAAATAGGCACAACCATTCTATCTTAGGCAGTCCCAAGTGGCTAGGTTTGCCACACCCGAAACAAAAGTATCTTGAAAAATTAAATACAGTGGTTCACTTATTTCCCTACTTAGCTCCTTAAGTACTCGTGGGTGAATACCGTCAAGCCCCGGAGCTTTAGTTTGATTGGGGTCTCGCCGTCTCCACCACCTCTGGACCCAAGACCAGGTTCCAGCTTCCAGTAGGTCAACCTCTCAGAATTCCAGAGAGCAGGAACAGGAACAAAACTTAGTGAACAGAAACAGAGCTTAGTGATCATACCCTGGGGAGTATAGTGATTATAGCAATCCCCAGAGTGTAGTTCTCCAATCCCCCAAACATGAGCCGAAACTTCATGAAGGTGCAAGATGATCTGACTCCAATGAGCTTTTACTATATACAAGTTTTCAGGCCAGAGGCATACCCCCTGGACCTGGTGGTAAACTGTGACAAAAGGGACACAAACCAATGGGAACACTGTAACGGATCACCTGGCACCCCGACTGGGTACCTCCGTTGAAAGATGCTCCTAGCGCTTCCAGAGGACTCCAAGCACTCCACCAGACACCATAAGCACCGCAGGCTGCAGCTATCTCCCTTCAGAACGAAGCAGGAACAAGCTCTTACAAGAGCTCAGTGATTATAGCAAGGGAATATGCCTAGCATAGCAATCCCTTGTAGCAGATTCCCCCAATAAGAGACAGGACTCAAGTTGAGGGTAAAAATAGAACTCTCTGGCTGCTAGCTTGCAGCCCTTTTTATTAGGTGCTCCCATGAAGGGGAGGGACACACACAGTAACGTACATTAACCAATCACACAATAGTTACATTCCACACATAGCCCTCCCCTCTACCTGTAAACTAATTATCTGTACACACAGGAAAATACAATTATCATAGGTAGGGAAAATACAGTTTTTACACAACATTCATAACTCCCAAAATATACATCACATTCGCATAAAAATACATATTCACAATCAATCCATTCAGGGGAACAACATATTTAAAAATGGCATGAATCAGACCAGGGGTTCAAAAGTTAGTAAAAGTATCTTTTGTTCCCCCTGGCTCAAACAGTAAAAGTAAAACATCCCCACAATGCATCCTGGCTTCCTCCCTTCTGCCCTGGAGATAATTGGAGAAGGAATCTAATTATCTCCAAAGACAGAGCCAAACTCCATTACCCACATGGCAGACAAAAAGACATAAAATTACATACTGACACATTTAGTACATAAAACACACATTTCTACATATCCCCAGATAGCTTGGATCTGACTGCACATTATTAGATGAATGGCACTCAGATCCCACGAATAAGCCTTTCTGCAGGGAAAATAAACAGTTTAACCTGCAGGGCCATAGTCCAAAGGCAAGAGGCGGGCAAGCAGCCCCCTCCAAGGACACGTGGCGAGGTCGGTTTTGCCACACTTCTCCCCTTTGCCCCCCAGACTAACAGGGTATCTGACCTCCTGCCGGTCAGTGCCCTGGTTAGTCCAGCAACCCACCCACGAAGCACAAACAGCAGTACAGCCCACCCACAATAAATGTTTACTCCACCTGGATAAAGTAGCAACTTGTCCATGTCCAGGTGCCTCACCACGGCTGTGTGGGGAGCTGGTAGACTGCCTTGGTGGGTTGCTGAGTGGGCAGAGACCAGCGGTACTCTGCCCTGGTGCCAGCGCTACCACCGAAGTAGCCTGATTGGAGCCTGGTTGTGGGAGGGGGAGACCGACCGTCTCCCCTCTGGGTACACAGCTCTGGGGCTGGGGAACAGGACCGACCGTCTCTACCCCTTGGGCTGTAAGCGCAGAGACTACGGTCCCATCTGCACAGTTGCGGGGCTCAACATCTCCCCTTGGTGGGTTAGGCTGCCGCTGGAGAGAGGGTGTAACAAGCTCCTCTCTCTGGACTGTCAACTGCCGCTGGGGAGAGGGGTTAACAGGCTCCTCTCCCTGACACTCTCTCTGCTGGTGGAGAGGCGGACCAGCTGTCTCCCCTTTCATTATTTTGTCCTGCTGCTGGGGTGTGAGACTGACGGTCTCTGCTCCCTGCAGGACACACTGCCGCTGGGGAGGAAGGACGACACCTTCAGCTCCCTGGGGTACACACTGTCGCTGGAGAGGAAGGATTGCACCCTCAGCTCCCTGGGGTACACACTGCCGCTGGGGAGGAAGGACGGCACCTTCCGCTGGGGCAGCCTGTAGAAAGTCAGGCTCAGGGGAAGGAAACAAGGGAGGACAGAGGCCAGCGGCGCTCTGCCCAGTTGCCAGCTCTTCTGCTGGGGGGTCAGGGAACAAAGGAGTTGGCTGGGGAGGAGAAATATCACTTACCTCCCCCTGGTACTCCGGCTGCTGCTGGGGGGGGGAGGTCGATGCTCTCCACTTTCTGTAACTCCAGCTCTAGTTGGGGATCTGGGCCGGTTGCCCAGCATCCCTGTAGGGCCGGTGGAGAGATCTCGGTCCCATCTCCACCTGCCTGCAGGGGGTCCTCCCAGGACCAGTCTATGAGGTCCTCTACCTCGGGTACCTCTGGTTGCTGTTGGGGAGGGAGACCGGTTGTCTCTTCCTCCAATAACACATTCTGCCGCTGGGGAGTGAGACCGACTGTCTCCCCTCCCTGTAAAACATACTGCCGCTGGGGATCTGGGCCGGGTGCCCAGCATCCCTGTAGGGCCGGTAGAGAGACCTCGGTCCCATCTCCACCGGCCACCTCGGTTTCTTCCTCGTCCCACTCTACCTGTGGCTGGAGTTTCTCCCAACGTGCCCACTGGCCTTCCCTCAACGCCCTGTGTTGTAGGTTCCGGGTCACCATGTCCCACACGAACCGCACGTATTTCTCCTCTGGATTGGGTCCGTAAAACTTCAGGTGCAACCCTACCATCGTGCCAAACTCTAGTACGGAGTAGCTATACGCCATGCTTGCTGTAGCCACTGCTGGTTCCATTATGTTGCTGAAGATAAGGACGCTGCACAACTCCACACGTTACCGGTGTCTCCGAGCTGCTTCTCCTCGCACTAGGATGCCATCCCGCCGCTTGCCACCAATGTAACGGATCACCTGGCACCCCGACTGGGTACCTCCGTTGAAAGATGCTCCTAGCGCTTCCAGAGGACTCCAAGCACTCCACCAGACACCATAAGCACCGCAGGCTGCAGCTATCTCCCTTCAGAACGAAGCAGGAACAAGCTCTTACAAGAGCTCAGTGATTATAGCAAGGGAATATGCCTAGCATAGCAATCCCTTGTAGCAGATTCCCCCAATAAGAGACAGGACTCAAGTTGAGGGTAAAAATAGAACTCTCTGGCTGCTAGCTTGCAGCCCTTTTTATTAGGTGCTCCCATGAAGGGGAGGGACACACACAGTAACGTACATTAACCAATCACACAATAGTTACATCCCACACATAGCCCTCCCCTCTACCTGTAAACTAATTATCTGTACACACAGGGAAATACAATTATCATAGGTAGGGAAAATACAGTTTTTACACAACATTCATAACTCCCAAAATATACATCACATTCGCATAAAAATACATATTCACAATCAATCCATTCAGGGGAACAACATATTAAAAAATGGCATGAATCAGACCAGGGGTTCAAAAGTTAGTAAAAGTATCTTTTGTTCCCCCTGGCTCAAACAGTAAAAGTAAAACATCCCCACAATGCATCCTGGCTTCCTCCCTTCTGCCCTGGAGATAATTGGAGAAGGAATCTAATTATCTCCAAAGACAGAGCCAAACTCCATTACCCACATGGCAGACAAAAAGACAGTAAAAGACATAAAATTACATACTGACACATTTAGTACATAAAACACACATTTCTACATATCCCCAGATAGCTTGGATCTGACTGCACATTATTAGATGAATGGCACTCAGATCACACGAATAAGCCTTTCTGCAGGGAAAATAAACAGTTTAACCTGCAGGGCCATAGTCCAAAGGCAAGAGGCGGGCAAGCAGCCCCCTCCAAGGACACGTGGCGAGGTCGGTTTTGCCACACTAACACTAATTAACATAATAACACTCCCAAATACACAATGAAATCCCTCCTCTCCATCCTGGAGATAATTGGCTTAAAGCATTGCAGTAAACTAAATTATCTCCAGGTACAGAAAATATCTACATTTTACACGAACAGCAAAAATACGTAAAGGTACATGAAAATACATAATTCTTATTATATTACACAGAACCCCCACATTTAACCTATCCCAGATAGCTCGGATCTGAGCGCCCAATCTAGGTGAACAGCGCTCAGATCCCATGAACAGAGTAAATTTGCCATGGGGTAAAGCATAGCAAGGGCTGTTGAGAAACCAAGGAGGGACAAAAGCAGTCAGTTCCAATTGGTTTGGCAATGTGCCTGGGACGCCCTGCTGGAGAACAATAGACAGGAAATGAGGGAGGGGAAGAAACACACCTTCCCATGGATTCAAATGGGCAGAAACAGTCTTTAAAAGCCAATAAGCCCCAAATAGTCTTTTTAAATGGCAATACACCTCAGGACCATAGTCATGAGGAAGGAGGCTGGCAATCAGGCTCCTCCAACAGCCAGGGGCAAAGGGCAGCTTGTCACCTAACAATCCAGTGACAAAAGGCATTTCGTCACATCCACATTTGGTGATTCCATGGAATGCTGTGAATGCTTCTCATTGGATACATTGATCAATCTTCCTTTAACGGAAATGTGACAGAGCTCCCATCCTCTAACTGAGTACCTGTAACACTTATTTTAATTGGAACTCAACTGCAGAATTTCTAATTGCAGTAACTGAAAGTTTGACCTCCTTTTATATGGATATGAAGGAGTGGTTACTGTCACTTTAATTACACGTGTAGGATCTTAATTGAATAAGTAATAGACTTTGTTGATTTGTACAATACTCTTAATTCCTCTTTAGGAATAATGCAGAGTTAGATTCCAGATTAATATAAGAAGGAATTTTCATAAGAAGACTATTAATGAAGCAGGAGAAGTTGCAGTTATAAATGACTTGATTATTGGAGGAAGTGTTAGCCTTGTTAGCAGATCCTTAAGAATAAGGAGGAAATTATTGAGAGAATGTCATATAACTGTATATGATTTGTAACAGAGAGTGGCTTGATTGGAAAAAAGTTACTTAACTTAAAAGGCAGTTACTGGAACTGAAGGGTTAATTTCACCCGATGGTTGAGAAGGTAGAAGTCCGTTTTTAGCAAGCCGTGGTCTAGGAGTGGAGAAGGTAGGAGTCCGTTTTAACAAGCCGAGGTAGGAGTGGAGAAAGTAGAAGTCCGTTATTAGAAAGCCAAGGTCTGAAGCAGGCAGGAGCGAGGTAAAGCAGCTGATCACTTTGCACGCACCTGTGCAATAATTCAGCATTTTAAATCTGGCGTGGTCT